CTCCGCGGGATTTTGCGAACTGTGATTCGTGGTCGTGGATGCTGACTCAACGTTGCTTCTCGTCGCGCTATCAAAGTTTCCTGGCACGTCGCTATCGGATGATTCGGACGACTCTTGTCGCCGCTGCATTATCCGGCTTGATAGTTTGCTCTCAATGTCGGACGCCAAAACATTGCCGAGTATCCACTCGCCTCCAATAGGTTTCTGCAATTTTTATTTTAACATTATTCTTCATTCGCTATGAAGCATATTTTCAGAGAAACGGATTTTATTCTTAATATTAACAGAGTGCTATAATTATAATTATAATAAATCATAAGAATTAAACATTATTTTTTATCTTCATATAATTTAAACTTCAGTTTTCTTCTCAAAAAAAATCAGTGTAATAACATAAATATTAAAAATGTTTATATTATTAAATTGAAATATTCACGCAATAAAGTAATACTAAGAATCACACTTAAGTAAAATTAAATTAACAGTAGTATACATTCACAAGAACATACATTCTGATTAAACATTCGTCAAATATAAAAAATAAAGTATAAAAAATTATCCCGTCAGCTTACTTTTTTACTCGATTCCTGAGTCGCATTCGTAGACGATGATGCATTCACAGGTTTGTGAGATTGCTTTTTGGAGTTACCAAACAGATCTGCGTCGTCATTCTCGTCGTCACTAAATAGGCTCGTGGCGTTAACGATATTAGATTCCGGTGTGCTCGTAGCGATTTTACCAGGAGCTATAACGTCTAAAAATTTCTTCGGCAGATCCTCCATGTTCGCGGGATAAGCGTTATCGCTCGCGACAGGTTCCTTTGGGCGTTTTTTGATAACATTCTTCGATGAGAAGATGTCATCCGAATCTTCTTCCGAATCGGCATCGGCAAATAGATCGTCTATTGCTGACTTTGGCTTTGTCGCTAAAAAAATGCGGTTGAATTGAAGAAGATAAATCTATTACAAAAAAACGACAACTATTATATAAAATGACAACGCAGATATAAGAATACTTACAAACTATACTAATCGGCGGTGGCACATCGATACTGGCTGGTATAATATTATTATTTTTGTAAGATTTGATTGGCTTTTCCTTCCACAGATTGGCAGATACTTGATCGTCAAAGAGATCTTTTTTACCGCTAAATAGATTGTCAGAACTGTTGAACACATCTTCATCCTTCTCGGACGCAAACAGATCATCTGAGAAAAGTTAAGAGTCAATTAACTTCGAGAATATTTTGTTTACAATTTATATTTTTGCAACAAAGATATTAACTGCATGCCTTTAAATCGATTAATCGATGATTCACTGATTTCATCTACTCCGACAGGCTTTTGCGCTTGGCGAACGGTGCCTAATCGTTTGGCTAATTCCTCTGCAAAATTCGGTGTCGTTTCATTTGACTGCAAGCAAGAAAAAAAGAGAATTGTTTCATCTTTAAAATATAAAAATTATCAAATCTCAACACCAAAATCCCTATTCTGTATTCTTAACTCCTTCAGACCCAGTACATTGTAATATACACCAAATTTGAAGATATTATCTATTGAAATTATTTAATTCTGTCGACATCATCTAAGATCTGATGTATATAATAATGTATATGTTGGAAAAATAGTTAAAATTTTGAAAAAAATTAATTGTTTAATATGAATTATTTATTTAAATATGCATGAACTGAATTTTAAAAAATTATTTTAACATAGTTTCAATAAAATCAGATCAGTATCATTGGCATATACAATAGCTATCGTTAAAAGTTACACAACAGGAACTCGACTATCAAATAATAAAAGAGATTTATAAGATTAGTTATATGTATACCTTCGATACATTATTAGGTGTGGCAGACTCTGAAGCGGAATTTATATTATTCTGAGATGTAATATCCGTTTTATTATTCTCGTATGATATGTTATTGCTGTGATCATTATAATTATCTGAATCGCTGGAGGACGACGACAACCTCGCTATATTTATCTCCGGATTGTGTCTACTATTAAATACTTTCCGCACATCGGTATCCTCTTTTTCACTTTCCGATTCATCCCTCTCTTCGTCAGCTTGTTCAGATTCGCTACTGCTACTCTCTAAACCTATCTTATTCGATGCTATCCATTTATCAGAACCGATAACATACGGCAAGGGTCGATCTTGATATGGATCATTGGGTCCCACAATAACACTGTAAACCAACCGAATTTTAGCACAAAGCAAATATTATGAATAAAAATAAAGACACTAACCTGAATACTACCGCACCTCCTTCATCTTCTTCTTCGCTGTCGCTGCAAGCTACATCCATTACTTTGTACTTTTCATCCATTATGCTTAAACCTTGCTTAACACTCTCGCTTATGCTGGCCAAGAGATTTTCCGGCGTGGACTCCTGAATTTTCACATTCTGAAAAAAGAATACAAAAATTCATTTCACTTAAATATGAAAAGGCATAGATTTCCCAAAATATTTATACAAAATAGAAATATTATATATTAAAATATAAATATGAATTCTCGCTTACTTCCTGCTTCTCATCTAAATTCTCCTTAATCTCTATGTCATCTTCCTGCACTCGGCTCTCGATAAATTGAGTATTGGCCAAAGCCAAAGATGTATTAGTAACATTATCCACTAGTATCCCTGTTTCTTTTAATTGCGTCGTCAACGTATCCAGAGCAGCTTGAGTCTTGTTGGCCTTGGACACCAGATTCTAAAATTTTACATAAAATCAATGCAAGGCACTGTTGAATGTAAACATCAGTAAGGCAAAGATAAATTATTAAAAATTATTAAAAATAAATTATACTTCAGAAAATTGCTGAAGATGTTTAAGAAGTCCCACATCACCCGCCAGACTCCACTCTCTTCTCTTCTTTCTCATCTCTTCAGTGGTCCATGGATGATCCCATGATTTATCTATACCATCTGATACGTCCTTCCATATAAAATAAAATAATTGATTTAAAAATAATACTGCGTACTGTTGTTGCAATTACAAATATTTTAAACATTAATATACACTTTTTTATAAATATATTTATATTTATACATATTATATGTCACGTAAAATCACTGTAAGACTCTTCTGTAACATCAAACTTTTAGAACTTTTGGTTTATATGATAAAATAAATTTATAGATTAATATATATATATATATATACATGTATTATGAAATCAGTCATTCACAATATAGTGGATCAGTTAGCAATTAAAAAGGCTGCTTTATATAAAGTATTTAAATGCAGTGGCATAATATAATCAACTTTGAAAATGAAATAATAATACATACTCTCTAATTTCTTTGAGGGAAGTGAAATGAAATTCCAAAAAAGAATTCAGTCAGTTTTGAAAAAAAGTGGTTTAATTCACTCTTCACAGAGTGAGATTCACTCTAAAAGTTTTAGAGAATGTTCTAATAAATAATATAGGTATGTATCATTATTGAGTTTTTAATCGTTTAAAATATTTATTATATATTTACATTCAATTCTGCTAATTTTACATGCAGCTTTTAGTAATAATCTAATACGTAATAAAATGACGAATTTGCTATTAAACATATTGTCAACAAATACACGTATACAGTTTCGAGGGATAAACAGCAATTAATGTTCGCTGATGTTAAATTCAAAGTTGGATTAGAAAAAAACTTTCAACAAGAAAAGATTTAACGAAAATCACAACTGTGCGATCGGACTAACCGCGACTATGCAACCTGAATGTAGCTTCGAAAGAAAGTCGGTTTATTACGTCCCATTATTGACACTTGCTAACCTAAGTGCAAATGTCTCACTCACCATATCGAGCAGTTCGTAACGACGGAGAACGATGAGGAACTCTCTTCTCACGATTACATTTAAACGGATCGACGGACCGTAATCTGACTTCTTATCGTAAAAATGTAACGAGGGGCAAGAGCGGAAAAAAATATGTAGCAAAATGCGCGCCGAGATGCACTCTGTATGCGAATTATCGGTATAATGCAGTTTAATGTATGTAATGCGAACGTGAGCGAGCGCCGCAACTCAGTTTTTCGCAGCTGCACTTTCTGCACGCAAAAATGAAACAGGTATACAATTGCACGTTGGAGAGAAAGAGATAAAACGAAAGGAGATAGAAAAAGTACAGAAAGTTCAGTTACAAGGAAGATTCTTCTGTCAAATCGACGCCAGGGACGAACAATTATTCCGAGTGCAAATATGGATGTAAACACGAACGTCGAGAAAAGAGAGAAAGTAAAATGCGTAAAAAGAAGGAAAAGCTATATAAAAATGTCTAATACTAAAACACTAAGACACTTTTGAAAACACAAGCGGCAATTTTAATATTTAAAAAATTGTGTATATATATAAATTTATAATATATAACTATATTTTAACACATAATATTTTTAATAGCTCAATATCAAAAATTATAAATACTTTTTTAAAAATTATAATACAAAATTATTACACATGTCTAATCATAATCTTATTTTTTTCGCAGATTAATTGAATAATGATAAAATTATAAATTTTATTTATAATTACGCGGAAAAAATTATATATATATATATATTTATATATATATATAAACACATTTATATAATAATAATTTATATAATTATAATTATATATGAAATATATGTCAATTTTAAATATAATTATAATTATATTTTCAACGCTGGCAGTGAATTTTGAAACACAATTTGTGTATAAAAAAAAAGAAGGCCAACATTCGTAATCAATTCTTATAATTATATATTTAAGACCATCTTACTTGATGTCAAAATTTAATATTACCAAGCCGTATTAACCTAAAAATTAAAACATTACTTTAGACAATCTTGTAAAAAAAAATGACCAAAGAAAAGACAAGAAAAACGTCAATTATTCATTAAATCGTTACACACCTGCGGAACGCATGTTATGAGTCATAAGAGATTTTTTTGGGAGATCAGAAGGGGGAGGAATTTTGTTCCGCGTTCCGGAACGTCAACGACGTAACCGGAACGAGCGGAAGCGGACCATCGTGAACGGAGCAGCCGCACACATTCGCTGTCGGATTGTTTGTCAATATCCTCTCCTCCTCCACCACCACCTTCGACGCCGCTTATCCTCCCGCGTTTCAAAGTACGTGCCTCATCATTCCAGGACGATCGTTGACGAGCACGCTCGTTATACTGGCATGACGGACGATCGACGGCATATTCGGTAGTAGAAAGCAGTGGAGATCATCGTCACCACCACCACCTCAGCCTCCTCCTCTTCTTGACTCGCCCTTCACGCAACGCGTGTGACGTCCCTCTCTCCCCTTCCCTCCCCCTGGTCGCCACTATCAGCCCCGTCGCAGCCGTCGCTGACGACGCCAGGACGCTGGAATGCGCGAACGCGGTGAATCAGCGAACACTCGCAGTAAGACACGCGTGTAACGGACAATATTGACACGACACGACGCGCGCGCGAGTGCACGTGCGTGCACACATATACACGCGCGCGACGATGCACCGACGAGCTCCATCCGTCTCGCCGTTGGCAGGATGCACCAATCCGTGACCTCGTCGCCGGCGGGACTCCGGGCTTGACGAGTGTAAACGGCTCCGGAACGTCGCGTCGTCGCTTTTAGTGAGAAACTCCAGAAGAAGTTCCGGGAGAAACTCCTGCGAACGTCTTCGTTGTAACGAACTGGACTCTGCGAGTTCGACATCCATATGTCTTGAAACAGAATGTAAGGAGTATCTCGCTTTGGTTGAAGAAAATACAAACAAAACATACAAGGAGTGTCACTTGAAAGAAGAGAGTGACGTTGAATCGAGTACAATTTTATTACATTGAAGGAGGACAGGAGAATACTGGATTGAACGTGTGGCAGAAAGAATTTCCAGTGTCTATCAGTGAACGAATTCACTATCTGTGAACAAGTAAGTGTGTAAATAATGTGAGTTAATTTCTATAATAGATGAGAGGTCAATTCTGTATTGATAAATAGAGGCAGTAGCATGTTGGTTGTTTCAGTTGATATCTATTCAAAACACTAATTCAAAACTTTGTGATGATTATAATTAATTTGGTATTAATTTGATAGTTTTATCTTCTTCATCACAAATTAAATAGATTGAAGAATAATTCAATTATTAATTGTTTTTTTTTTCAAAATACTCTGATTTTATTGAATATCAATTTAAATAGATACAAAATGTACTGATAGACTCTTGATTCTGTAAATAATAATATTTTGCCGAGAGTTTTGTTATACAGAAATATCGCTATTTCATAATATTTTTGAATGTATTAAAATTAAAACTGTTTTTCCGTTACAGATTCATTGGAAGAAAATGTGTAATGTCAGAGTGATACAATATAGAGACATAGGTGGTCAATACAGAGCGATTATTTATAATAGACTATTATGTATCTCGCTTAGTTGATGTACGGAACGTTGCCTTAGACATTTGTCTAGCGCTTTTATTGCATATCCTTAGTTACGCTCTATTGGAAAATATCCGGTGTTCATAAAACTGCTAAATTTAATGAGGCCGAAGGTGCCTCAAAAGAGGGGAAACTTTCTTTTGAGAAGGTACAGCGTTCTACGATTGACTTCAACAAACAATGAACCATTCGGGAAGCGGAAAACGTCAGGCGAAGGTTTTGGAAGAAAATTATTGGGACTGTAGTGTCTGCACTTATAGGAATACAGCGGAAGCATTTAAGTGCCTCATGTGTGACGTCCGCAAAGGAACCTCTACGCGGAAACCCCGCATAAACCCCCAATTGGTAGCTCAACAGGTCAGTCTAATTATCTTGCAATATATATCTGTGAACAATAATTTACTTCTTCATTCTAGTAAAGCAAGTTCTAAAGATACCTATCCTGTTCTACTAAAAAAATCATATATGTAAGAGTCATGTACATATTTGTTTTATGATATTCTTGCTTAATATTTGATTCTTGTTGTTTAATATTTGATGGCAAGAAGAATGAAATAATGCTCACGAGTGTTGTGAACATAAGAGGAATTGGCACCTTCAGTATACAGATTATTGTACTAAAACAGAGTAGACACCTTCAGGACTAGCTTTACTATTATAGATCCGGAGGATGACGAATTGTCCACGAGTTTATATCACTTACTGGCTGTATTTTTGTACTGAAAATCTACAATTCATATATATTTTATATTATAGATTTTTAGTACTCGCAATAATGGAGAACACAGCTCATATAACTTACATACAGAGGAAAAAGACTTTTTTATTTAAAAATGCAACTATTTGTTTTCAAATTATTTTTTACGTTATTGTTTCGTTATTTATTAGAGTTAACACATAATCAATATGATACTATATCATATCCAGGTTGCGCAGCAACAATATGTACCACTGCTGAAACCAGGTAAGAAAGAAGGAAGTGGCGGTGGTAGCACGACCAGCGGCGTCAAGGAAAAGGAACGCAAACTGGATAAGCTGAGGCGCAAAAACAGGCATCCGCCGCGTCTGAAAAATATTGACCGTAGCACCGCGCAATCGAACGAGGTAACGGTCAATAATGTTACCGTCACTATCACGGAGTACAAGCCCAAGGTGAAAAAGGGCTCGGATCAGTCGAGCAATGCGAGCTCCGAGGGCGGGAGCCAGCACGATTCGAATCAGGACTCGAGAAGTCTCGATGTAGGAACTGACGCCTAGTTTAATGCTAATGTTACATATGTGTGTATGAATTATTCTAATTAATATATTATATGTATATGTCAACCTTTAATGGTCAACTGTACATCCTCTAGACAAAAGCGATCATTGTTGACAGTCGCTTTTCTCTCGTTTATGCGTCTATGCGTCGCAAGCTGTATAACGAATCTAAAATGCCTGAGGTCAGGCATTTTGTGCAAGGTTGGTAAAAAACATGTTTTAAACGTGTTTTAAACAGTTTAATTGAGGTTTTTAATATGTTTTAAACAGTTTAATTGAAGTTTTTAATATGTTTTAAATGTTTTTTATAGTACTGTTTAAAGTATATTTGAAGCATTAAAAACATAGAAGAAACACAATATGTTCTATTCTTAAAAAAAAAAAAAACATTAGTTTTTACCAATCTGGTGATTTTGTGCCGTCAGCAGAGATATTGACTGAGCATGATCGTATATCATTCAAGGGAAGAAGAATAGGAATATATGTACATTATATATCACTGTTTTACTCGTTGCACAAAATGTTGAATAATTTGAATCGCTTCTCTACGCATTTTGTGTGAAAAAAAAATGTACTTAAAAGACCGCTTACATTACAGACGTCATTTTTTTATTCTGTAATATTTATTGAATCTGTTTAAAATGTCTATCGGTATCACATCGCGCTAGATTTAAATATAAAAAAAATAGAAGAAAAGAAATTGTAAATATCAGTGAAACGGAATTTTATGAAATATTGTTAATATAATTATATCCTCGATTTTTATTGAATTTACGAGACCACTGCCAGAAAGCGCGTCGTAAATCGTAATGCGGTTCGAAATTTGTTAACAAGACTAACCAGTATGACTGGCACTGGTACATATGTACATCTTATTCCATTCTAGTTCGTCATTGAATTGAGATGAATTTTCTTGAAATATAAAATACTTAATGAAAGTTATATTTTACTGATCTCCATGATTCGCTAATTTATTCTGCACTTTTATTAAAGCACAGTTAAATTCATCGATTCAATAATTAGGTCGTTTAATCACAATTGTATGTACAGATCGAACATGAATTTTCAAATATGTAATATACATGTACTTCGCGTATTGAATATTCATACAACGCTCTCTGATAAAAAAAAGAAGATAACATTTCATTTTTAGCAAATAAACAAGATTAAGATTATAGAATAAAATGACTTTGTTTCAAAACGCAAATGCACACGAAAAGAATCGTTGAACTTCATTAGTTTTATCATATTTGTAACTGCCCAACAAAATTTCATAACAGCGAACACTTGTTGTATTTATTCAAAATTAAATCGTAGCTGCAAGGACCACAACAGTTCCTTAAGTAAACGGGTAAAGTGGAAAAGAAAGAATTTCTAACACAGCAACATTGTTAATATTATGCCCAATAATTATACATTATCGAGATAATTGTAATACAATTCTGCATTAAAATGAAAGTAAATATAAGATCTATCAGTATATATAATCAGAGTAATTAAAAGAATTAATAGATAAATCGAGGATTGTATACTCGAGGAACGAATAATATTGCCAAATATTTGGTAATATTAACTTGTAAAAATAATCCTCATGACTGCCCCTCCCTCTCAGACTTGCTTTTTTGATAGCATCGATATCTTGAATTCTTAATCAAACGAATCATTACATAAGACCGTGTAGCTTTTACAAACAGATTTTAATCGACAGGTAATTAAATCACCATTTTTACAGAAATAGTCGCACGCAAGTATATATTTTTACAACTTCGTGGAACCGTATAAGTTACAAATTCTTAAGTAAGGTACAAATTCTTTCTGTCATACATGTCCTTTTGTTTTATGTGTAACCTGCTAATTTTTACATAGCATAAATCTATCTGCATTTTAATAGAATACAAAGATTCCGAATGGACAGCGTGTTTTCGAGTCTGTATTAAATTTTTGAATTTTTTAAAATTAACTTTCTAAGTGTAATATGTAATCTCTTATTCACTCGAGAGATTCATTAATTATTGTTGGCTATTATAAATTTATAACACTGCGAATCAAGGGAACCCGTTTTTAAAAACATTTTTTTTTTTTTTTTTAATGAAACAATGTCTTTAAAACGTTATATTGATTGTTCGTATCATATAATGTGAAAATTCGGAAAATACTTGAATAAAATACCGTACTATTATTTTCAATAAAATGATGTAAGATTCTTGAAAAATAAATGGGGTTAAAATTAAACTGTTAACAGGGAAACAATAAATCATGTTTTAAGAAACAAAAACGAAAGGATTTTTAATAAGCCTACCAAATATGTACATAGATACATTTATTCTTTTATCAACAGTTTTTATGTTAATAAGATACAGATAAGTTACAGATTAATTGTCTGTATAAAAAAGAAACGCGTAACAAAAGTTTATTTACAATTTTTATGAAATTTTTTATTCATTTAACAAATGTTTTAAAATATAATTAAGATTTTATAATCAATTTTGATACTAATATGTATACTTTTCTTTTTTTATCTCTTTTTTTATTTCTTTTATGCTTGACGATTCCTGATTTTCAATTTCCATATTTTCCATATCTTCGGTGACGTCCATCTCTTCTTGCCGAAATTCTGTCAAAGTTTTCGATGCAACACGTTTTACAAATCTCTCTCGCACTATTAATCAGAGTAAAAAAGTTAACACAATGACACTTAATCTATATTAAAAATTACTTATACATACCTGTAGGTATCTCCGTAAGATCCAACACTTTAAAATTGTGTTCCTTATTATCTCCGCCAACAGTGAATACAAATCCATTATCTGGATTCGCTGCGAGACACTGTATAGCGCCCAAATTACTCGTCTGTTCCCATATAAGAGTAGGAGATTCTTGGTCTATATCCCATATTTTTATTACACCATCGTTTGAACAAGAGACTAACAGATCTCGGCATGACGTACTAAGAGAAAGACCTGGAAAAAAAAATAAAAAATGAAATTTATGAGCTATAATATAAAACAAGTTAGATAAGAGATTTATTTACCTGTGACTTCTTTTTCATGGGCCTTAAATTGCCATAATGGTTTGTGTTTTCGTACATCAAAGTATTCTATATAACCATTATCTGTGCTAACCTGCAAAGAAATTACAAATATAATCAATCACAAATTCAATCACAAAATTAATTTCAGATGCATGTAAGACGTACAATACAATAATTTGGATCATGATGATTCCATAAGACCCTTTCCACTTCTCCCAATGCCTCCCATTGTATAATAGGTATTTCGTTCATGCAATCGTACAGTTTTATTAATCTGAAAAAATATTAAAGTAGATATCTATGTAAACATACAAATGTTTATCAATAGGATAATCTACATACCCATCAGCGCATCCTATCAATAGCTGATGAGTTTCTTGTGGGTGCCATTTTAGCGTTTGCACTTTTTCATTGAACGGACCTAGTTTATTGACAGGTTTACCATTTTCCAAGTCCCACAATAAGACTGTTTGATCAGCCGAACCGCTAGCAAGAACATGTCTGTAAAATATAATAATAAAATTAGTTATTATATTGATTATATTTTTTTGTGAAATTGATAACTGACGTATAATTATGATTCCACGACACGTCTAAAACTGCATCTCTATGACCAATGCGTTTTTGTTTCTTCATTTTATTTGATTTACGACCTAATTTGTAGGCTGGTTCTAAGCAGTCTATCAAGTCCAAGTCCCATACTTCAATTATGGGAGTCATACTACCAATAGCACATAAATTGCCTAAAAGCACAAACATAAATCTTTAATTACATCTTTTATTACATAAAAAAAAATTATATAATTTATATTTCCTGTAAGAATTTCTAATGTAATTAAAGTACTACTCACTTGGTTTTGGAGTAGTAGGATCATAGTTAAGCCACTCTATGCACAATGGAAACGAAGGTAGAAATATATCATGATGACAATAAAAGGATCCTTCCCTTTCGTTATATACTACAATTATACATATAAAAAGATTGTCAGAAATAAAAGATATATATATATATATATATATTATATATATAATTGCTTATATAATAGGTAAAATTATTTAGCATCAAGAATGAATTTTAAATATTTAATCAAACTAAATACGCTGTACGAACCAAATACTTCCAAGATGCTAGCATCTCCCTCAACATGCCCAAACAACACTAAATTATCATCAGCTTTGATAATATCATCCTCCTTATCTGAATCTTCTTCATCGTTTGTTATAAGAGGATCTTTGCCACTTGCATCAAAAGTGGCTAAATTACTAATGTGGCAATACATATTGCCGGCTAAAACAAAAATAAAAGAATCAAATATATTTTTATATTCTGAATATTTAACAATTTTTCTCTTACATTCATTATCATAGGCTTTAAAGTTATATTCATCAATGCCAGCATTCGAAGATTCTCCTTTCTTCTCTGTATTAGATTGTGTTTTGGATCTCTCTTCGTCGGAATCATCATTACTGTCATTGCTATAAAAAAAAATCTTACAATTAATTTTTTAATATTTATTGTATGTCCTATTCTTGTGAGAAAACCATAAATACACAATTAAGAATTGTAGTTTCAACACTCTCTAAATTCTCTAATAATCATCAAAGTTATCAGAAATATATTTTTTAGCAAGAGATCTGAAGTTGATTACAAACGCAAGATTCAAATTTAAGAATTGAATTCTCGATGGAGAAAATAGAATTTTGAAAATGTTTGAAAGAGATGAGATAAAGTTGAGTTCTAAAAAGCAAATTGTGCATTATTATAATGGAAATAATTTGCATTATTTTACGTACTTTAAAGTGGCTTGCGTCTCTTTTATAATCTTCTCGAGTTCGTCGGGTCTTAATTCAACCTACAAATCGCAGAAAATATATGTTTTTGATAAATAACATAACCTATACATAACATTAAAATACCAACTTTTTCTGGAACAGCCGCGGCGACACCTTTTTTCACCCATGTAGTACAAGATATAATATTCGCTTCCATCTTTATTAGAAATGTGTCAAGTTATCGATATTGTTCGACAGTAAAATAAAATTTTCACAAAGTTTTTGCAACCATTGAATTATCGAGGTTAAGTTTTCAACTCACACGTGTTTTTTTAGCAGTAGTGCCAACCCCGATCACTTATAAACATATATTCCCTATATTTCCTACTTTTTAAAAATAAAGAGTTGTTTTAAATAAATATAGTTTTTTTTTATTCATAAAATTATGAATAATAAATACAATTTATTGAATATAAAATATAGCACACACATGATATATATAACAATTATATTTCTTTAAAGATCAAATGTACAAATCAAATTGGCATAAAAAAAACTCATTTACAAAAATAGACCCATTCTTTTTAACTGAATTACTCGCATCGTTTTTTTTTAACGTAAAGAGAAAAAGATGAATTGTGCAAGAAATTCAGTTGAAAAGAACCAATACATTAATTGTAATTTATATACATATTATATATATATATATATATATATATATATCATGTTATTTGGAATGTAAAATGCTTTGGTTTCACACTTATTAAACTTGGAATGCTTTCCAGCAAAAAAACACAGATGAACATTATGCCAATGAATACAGTATTTTCAAAGTCCTAGAATTTTTTCTATTTTATAGCTAAACTTGCAACATGCTAGAAAGTATCCTTAAATATAATGTCATTAAGTATAGATTAGCATTTCTGATGATACTTTTTGGCAAGTATAGCCACTGCAGTCTTTGACTGGTTTGTTCTATTTAATTCTTTACTGATGTAATCACCAATCTCCACTATTTTATGTAAATCTATGCCAGTTTTCAATCCTTCGCCCTCCAAGAAGTACAGTAGATCCTCCGTGGCAACATTTCCTGAAGCACCAGCAGCATATGGGCATCCACCAAGTCCAGCAACTGAAGAATCAAAGACTCTTATATCATTTTCAAGACCCATGTGTATATTTATCAAGGCCTGACCATAAGTATCATGACAATGCAGCGCATAATAACTCATGTCGTTTGATGAAACATGGAGCAGTTCATTTAAGACACGTTTGATCTTCCTTGGAGACCCTATGCCTATGGTGTCACCCAGAGAAATTTCATAACACCCAAGATCTAACATTATTGAAGCTAAATGTGCTGTGATAGCTGGTTTGATTTCACCTTCGTAGGGACAGCCAACAATGCAGGATATGTAACCCCGAGTTCTGATGCCATGCTTTTTTGCCTCCTCCACCACCATCCTGAAATTCCTTATACTCTCCTCGATCGAACAATTGATATTAGTTTTGGAAAAGGTTTCCGACGCTGCACCAAACACAGCGATTTCTTTCACACCTGTTGCAATAGCACTCTCTAAGCCTTTCAGATTTGGTACCAGTACTGGATAAGATACATCGCTTCGTTTTTCAATTTGTTGAAAGACCTGCTGATTGTCTGCCATCTGAGGAACCCATTTCGGAGATACGAAGCTGGTAACTTCGATACTTCTTAATCCGGTCGCTGATAGTTTATTAATAAAATTGACTTTGACTTTGGTAGGCACTATTTTTTTCTCATTTTGTAATCCATCTCGTGGTCCAACCTCGACTACTTTTACAAAATCGCTAAATTGTCTTATTGTATAATTCCAGACACAATTGCGAATGTTCGATGGCAATATCACCTGTCTCGAAAATAATTCTATCATCGTGCGTAAAATGTGATGAAAATTGCGTGTTAGATAAAAATATGTTCCACTATTTACAAATTGTACATATGTCTACCAATTCGGATTTGTATTACCAATACAAATCCGAATTATACTGTTTGTTTTTCTGGTGATTTCCCCAATTTTATCAATAGCAGAGAGAGCCATTCCGAGGCCTTTTTAGTAAAAAATCTGTAAAATATCATACATCCGGGGTCCTATTCTTGAAAAATATCGCATACAAAAAATTAGGGAAATACTATAGTATATGTAATGTATACTATAGTATTTCTCTAACTTTCATATATTGTACGTTTCTTTTCAAGAATAGGGGTCCAGTGCACAACGTCAATTTTTTGTGATATTTACATTCCTATATTGTATTCATATAATATTGTATTATATTGGGTCATCTAAAAAGTATCCGCGGTTTTTTGTCACTAGATGTGTTGATGGTCATATATCTAAATATGAAACTGTCGATAAAATAATAATATCAAAAATGGCTGTGGTTCGTGTCAGTGCTAACAAGAGCTAATCCTAAAAGTAAATTATGAAAATTAAAATAAGTAAATTCAACTAGGTATATTGATCAATAAAATTATAAATATTCTATAATGAATTTGTTCACTTTTCATCTTATTTTAAAATACACAATCAACTTGGCAGCTAGGCTCTTATTTGTATCAGTATTATTAATATCAATATTTTACAATTATTCAAAGATAATTCGATGATCCCACAAATCATCCACGTGTAATCTTTGTTTCATGTTTTTGATGAATATTAAGGGATTCACTACACACACATTTTTTAACTTGTATAAAAAATAATTATCTTATTCTTTCATCATTTATCTATACTTATCATAGTAAAGATAACACATTTGATAGCTAATACCTTTATTGTTTAACGAGGAGCTAAAATTTTAGTACACTGCGGACGCGTCTACAAGCAACAGTTTTATAGTTTCGAGAATATTGTAATATATTATTTACAATATAATAATATAAAACATAATTATACAGATTAATAGTTTATTAGTAATCTAGTGAAACGTCGTTATAAGATTATATGTGCTGTTAAAATAATTTTCATTTTTTCCTCCTTTCATTAAATGTTAATTTATGTAAAAATACGGAATACGTGTTTGCGGATCAATTTGTCTGCAAAAAATTTATTATCGAAATATTTAAATTTTAAATTATATATTCAAGTTATTATAAAACAAAATGGGTAACTATATTATATACAATATTATACACATAGAACATAATATTTGATATTGTTTTTCTGTGTAATAAAATTTATAAATAATATCTTTAGGTGGTTCTTCTAGTCAACAGGCAAAACCTGTACATAAGGAACAAACAGAATTATCTAATAGACACGAATCTATAATCAAAACTGTGACAGTACCACCTACTATCTTTGCTACAAAAGATGAGTTTGTTAGAATTTGGTTTTCATGGAAAAATGATTTCTTTGTTTATTTGAAGAATATTGACAAAGCTGAAGACAAAAAACAAATGTGGGGTTTCATGCTTTTAAATCGTATGGGTCCCATTGGTCAAGAGATTCATAGAACATTTCATTTCTATGGAGAAGATAAAAATACATTAGATATAGACATATTAATAAAGAAATTTGATCTTTATTGTCTATATAGAGATAACAAAAGAGGCAATAAAAACATCGACGAATACATACATGAATTGAAGGTATGTCCCAGAGAAATGTCCGTGAGAAATGACAATGGAATCGATGTCGAATCGATGTCAATTTGATGATTTCGACGTCAAATCGACATCAAATCGATATCCATTCCATTGTCATTTCTCCCTAGGATTAATAAAATTATACTTATGTATAACTATATATTCTTATTCTCTAAATCTGTTAGAGTGAATCTTACTTTAAAGAGTGCCTTAAAAAATTAAAAATTCTAAAAAAAAAAAATTCTGAAAAAAATTTTAAAAATTCTGAAAACAATTATTAGAGCTCTATGAGAATAAAATAAACAATTTTTGCCTCTTGCAGTTTTTCTGTAAAATTGATAGTATTTTAGTAAAAAATTATTGAAGATTAACTTTCGGCAATTTTTAGTATCTTGTTAACCATTGCGAAAATCGCAAAATAATAGAGGACTTTTCTTCTCAGTTTTCTTTTCAGTCCATTCCGTCCCTATGCGAAAGATTTGTTATATTGTAATTTTCTAAACACTGTGTGTGTGTGTGTGTGTGTGTGTGTGTGTACAGAGTGTTAGTTAAGTATGTTGCCATACTCAACAGAGCGATTCTTATTTCAAATAAAAAAGTCCATATAAATATGTGTCTAGCTTTTTGTCAGTGGATTCTTATTTCAGAACTTTTTTATTTCGGAAACTAAATCGTTTAGAATACATGTTTATATGAACTTTTTTACTATATAATATATTTACTATATATATATATAAAATCTTATAGTTATTTGTAAATTTATTTTTGTAGTCCTTTGCTATAGCACGGAATTATATTGATCCTACAAGGATTGTGAAAGACAAAATTATACAAGATATGAGTTCCCAGCAATTCACAGGAAAAGCTGCGCTTCTCATAGAAAGTAAAGGAGAAAAATTGATACCATATTTACAATCACTAAATTTGTACCACATCACTTTGTTCTGGAAACAATGTGAAGATTTAATGACACAAAAAATCGACGAAATTCCAAAACAGAATTTTCAACAGAATTCTACCTATGCTAAATCTGCTACAACAGAGTCTACATCAATGGAACAGAATCAAAATCAATGTACAACTATTTGGGGACATCAATGTCAATTATGTTTTCCCAAATTATGTTGTGTCCATTGCAGTAAACATTGTAAACAGTTCAATTATTACACGGATAATTATAAAGATAAGTACATATATGACTGTACTAAATGCGGAATGAGTCATATTCGATCACGTTGTCCAGCATACGGCGAACTGTGTATAAAATGCAACAAAAAGAATCATTTCTCGAAGATGTGTCGGGTTCCTGTTGTAATAAATTGCTCTAAATGTGGTATGAACCATGCAATATCAAAATGTCCAGCATATGGTCAAATATGTCGTCATTGTAATAAACTGAATCATTTGGAAGAAAAATGTCGATTAGCCAAGTGTGTTTAAACATACAAAGTGTCATCTACTGATAAATTTTATCAACAAGAAAGTTATAAAATTGATGCAAAATTTGTTATATCTATTATATGTATAATTTTTGACGACAAATGCCACAAAAAATATAACAGATTTGTTTACATGGCTTGACAGCAGATTAACAGCAGAAATGGGAATGTATGATTTTCAAAATTCTGCATTACGATTTTATACCTACATACTTTCAAACATTTGTTAAGATTCTAAGTAACTACATCTAAGTAACTGCAGCGACCATACTGAATTGTGGACATAAGCGAGAAATGACACGTTAATATTTGTTATATGCTATTTCTAAATAAAAATAATTTGGATAAAATGAAATGATGAGATCGCTTTAAAACTCCTATAAAAATGGGTCACTGACAAGATACTATTAGAGACGATCGGCACTTATGGAAATTCGCATGCCTGTTAAAATTTAAGTGATTAATGCCCGTTTCCACCAATGTAGATTAACTTTAATCTCGGTTCAATTTACTAAAAGATTAAGTTTAAGAAGAGTAAGTTGAATCAAAATTAAAGTTAATCTATGTTGGTGGAAATGGACAGAGTAAGAAACTAATAATGCAATACTAATTTCATGATTTACAGGGCTGGTAATATTTAAAATAATTCCATTTTAAATATATATTTAAAATGGAAATGGCATTTTGCATTTTCCATTTTAAATGGTTTTTGGAAAATCATTTTCATTTTACATTTAAAATGGAATCATGTCCTATTATTTAATCATTTATAAAATAGGTTTAAAATGGTTTTCCTATGTTTTCACAAATTTTCCTCAGAATCGTATAAGAAAAACCAAGTCCTATGATTGGCCAAAGATTTTTATGAATATTTAAATAAACTGTAAATTAAACAGTAGTAAACTTAGTAAAGAGAAAATTAATTTCAAATAGTCCATAAATCTTAATAAAAATAAATAAATGTCCAAACTTTATGTAAAATACTATATAGATTTCTAAAAATATATATTACTCTTAACATCTAATCTTGACCGTAATCGGCGCTTCTCATATTAATTTGATTTATTCAAGTAAACGGTCCCGTTTCCAAATCATAATATTAAAAAATTTTAAATATTCTCGTCAGGAGTCACCCTTAGAGTGAAATCACACGGTGCGGAAAGCGATTCTATGTTATTCCGTAGCGTTAGTTATTTCAATGGCCTGGTTTCCACTGAGGGTTTAAACCGAATTAGAATGTAAGAACTAACCAACTACAGTCGAGCATTCCTCTATCGTTCGATAGTAACAGGAGAATACTCGACTGTAGTTGATTGATTCTTACATTCTGATCCGATTTAAACTTCGGTGGAAATTAGATCAATTCTCTATTCCACTGTCGTTTTTCGCCGTGTGATTTAAGCCCTAAGGCTTAAAAATTTATTGTAGGATTACGGTGTCGATTTGGACGCTCACGCGCTTGTAATCATCATTCTGTCTTTATCGTTCATTGGACATAAAATAAGGGCTACAGCCATTTGATGCTACGAATGCTTCAAAGTATCTTTTGATTGGTCAGTTAGTAAAATTCTTTTTTTCGATTGATCAATCAAAAGTTTCGAAGTATTTGTAGCGTCAAATGGACCGCATCTAAAAATAAAAGTATTGAAAAGCGCTAAAAGCGTCCAAATCGATTGCAGCCTATAGGCCTAGATCTGAAATCCGGAGTAATGCTCGCGATCAGGTTAAATCTGATACATATTCTGGAAGTTTGGTACATATGATACGTACGAATGCGTACATAGAATACGTATCAAACTTGTACGACACCTTTAACATAATCCTAACTTCCAATTTATTAATCTTATTGTTTATATAAAAAATAATGTTTTTAGGTTTTTGAAGTTTTGAAGTATATTGCTGATTGAAAATAACTTCAAAAACTTTCCAGTTTTATTAAAAACGTAGTTTGCAAATAAAAAACGGAAAAAAAATAATATTGAAAATGTAAGTGCAGGATATACATGAATTTGGTATACACAATAATATTAGTAATTCGTTGTAATTTTTGCTCTTGTAGCATGAATTTAATTTGAAAGTAAATACATATAATTTGATTATGCCATAATTTTCTAATTAATTTTCAATATAATTTCATATTATCGTATTTCAACCCAATAAACGAGAATGGATTAAAATGGATTGAAATTTTTTTCTATCCAAATGCGTATTTTAAATAGGAATACTTTGTTTGTGGATTTAATTGGATTCAATTGGATTCAATTAGATTCAATTGAATGCAAATGGATTGAAAAACTGCATTTCCTATTTAAAATTTTAAATTGAACAGTATTCACAATTGTATGTGTTGTGCACAGAAAAAGCCAATATTATTTTTAGATTGAAAAGCATAGAAATAAAATATGCTTCATGCAATTCCTATAAATGAATAAAAATGCATTCAGGATTGAAAAGCATTCATTTTAACATTCGTGTATCAATATTTCTGAAAATCTGAATCCATTTCAATTCATTTCAATCCATTTTCGTTTGCTGGAAAATTGTTAATATCACAGTAAAATGTAAATTTGTTTTGCCAGTCCAAAACATCTAAATAAGATCATCGAATTAAAAAATGAGGTTATGTGACGTATAATACATAAATGTATGAAAGTGAAGTGGTATCATTCTTCAGAATCATACGTAGAATACCTATGTATGATACGTTTCCAATTTTGCTCGCGAACATTGAATAAGTAAAACGCGCCCTATGAATATCGGCCTTAGGGTGCCGTTCCATGAACGGAAATTAACATCGGAACGGAACAGCTCGACCAATCACAACTCTGCAATCATTATTCTGCTTTCTTTTCTGCGATTGTGATTGGTCTCGCCGTTCCGTTCTGCTGTAAATCTCTGCTCATGGGACGGCACCTTTATATCCACCTTTCCATTACTCGGACTGCGCAACCCGTTCAATTGTTTCCCACGTTCGTGGGCGGTCCGGGTGAGCTGTAAAGCGATACCACGCGCGGCGCCTTCGCCAGCCGGGCATGCGGAGGAGCGCGAAAACGGAGCGGCGAAAGCGCGCGCGGCGCCGCGAGATTTCGCCTCCGTTTCCGTCGTTGTCATCATCCTTTTCATCTTCGTCTTCTTATATCACCTGGCGTATTCTCGTTCGTCACTATCGTCAGCTGTTCGACGCTTCAGTAGCGGAATAGAATCGATCGGGACAATTCCGCTAGACCACCAGACCGCCAGACTCTGCCGATCGACGTGACGCGTGCGACGCTCCGAAATTCGGCGCGCTGACTGCTGACGTTCCGTTCGTCGATAAGCACTCTTGCGTGCACTCGCGTGCGCACATCCGCACGCACAATCTCAGGCAGGCAGGCACGCACGCACGCACGCACGCACGAACGAACGCACGAACGCACGTCTGCCTGTCTCCCTGCGCCTGCCTGCACTCAGCACTTGTAGTGCTTCGTGATCGTTCGTCCGTATGATCTGGTACGCTCGCTCGCTCGGTGCTCCCGCTCGCGGTCGAGAATGACATATCGCGACGCGCGGGTGACGCGCGACGACCACGCACGCACCGAGAGGAGCGTCGTCGAGCAACGTGATCGCGACGGTTGAGGAAGAAGAGAACCCGGAGCATAGGCTCATCCTCGTCGCACGGAATCGTCCAGCCAAGACTCCACTCGGACAATGGCAATCTCGAGCTGGATGATGTGGGGTAGAAGCCTCCGCCGATCTCGTCGAAGTGCGTGCACAGCAATTGCGATTGAATCGCGCGATACGTTGCGCCCGGCAATTCACGTCTCCTCTCCTTGTGTCTTTTTTGTTTTTTTTTCTGATTGCAGGCCGCCAAGACGAGGACAGCTACGTCCAGCTCGATCTGTCAAGAGGTTAGTAACCTAACCTGCCTATCTGTGAAATCGCGGATCATCCCCTTTTCCCCTCTCCTCCCTCGAAAACTCCGCCGATTATCACCATCTGAGACCTCTCGCACTTCCGTATTTATTTACCTCTCGCCTGCGCAATGTTGCGCAACCCGTTGCTGCGTCTCAACCCCCCACGAGATCGACTACCGGTTCGCCGCGTATTTGCAATGACGCGGATATCAAGGATATCAAATGATGCGGGTCCCTTGCAATTCGAGAGTTTGGAAACGTATTCATATACTCGGACTGATCTAAACAAATTAGAGAAACAAAGAGAGGATGACAGCAAGATCAGCTAGTCGATTCTATTTCAGACTTTATCCTATTTCCAGATCGGTCCGTTTGAGAATATTGCGCAATTACTTTAACTATCGGTTTTTTTTACCTGAGAATTTATGAAGCATAATTCCAGTAAACACTAATTAACAGTAATATAACAGAAATGTTATATAAAAAAAAACAAATAAAAATTTAAGTTAACTGTATTTTGTTTTTAATTTAGCAAGTAGCTAGACTTATAGCCCTTGATTTATTAATTAGGAATGCTATAATTTTATATTCAACAATACAAATATAATATATTACATGTACAATTGTTGAACATAAAATATTAATGTTATGCTAGTATTTATATATATATATATATATATATATTCATGATTCATAGGGAGAATTGATTTATTTACAGGATTAAAGGAGAACGTCAAGGAGGTCTTAACTAATCTTTGCCAGCGGCACAATGTTCCAAGCGTAAAGAAGCTAGCATATCTCAATGCTATTGTTAAGTTGATTAGTGAAACTGATTCCCAAGATTATGGATACTCCCCGGAGGATCTGTTCTGTTGGTAAGAATCTACTGACAACTAAAGGTTTATTTTTTATTATTGAATTAAATTGCACTAGAACTTTTCTTCTCTCTTTCATCAAATTCTAAACTATATATCTATTTTGCTTTAAATAGAAAAAATGTGTACTAGTTCAGCCATAAAAAAATAGACCTTATTTCTATATTCTAAAGACCCTATAGAATCTGGCCATGAGAGATTTTGTCAAAATCCAACGAGAAAGAAAGATGTATATGCTTTCTTTCTGTATATATTTGTACTATCTCTCACTTATACTGTCTGATGAACTTTCTGCAATAATAGATTAGAAATTAATTAATAATAGATTAGAAGTTAAGAATGAGTTGTAAACTAGTTAATAGTATGTCATAAGACAATAATAACTCTGCAATCAGTGATTGTAGAATGTGATTGCATGAATATGATCAAATTCTTTTTCTTATTATTACAATTTAAATCTTATTATGGCTGACTAATAATGTAGTATTGTTATTTGCTCTGAGAACTATCATCTGTCTGATTAGCTAAAATATTGCGACGTAATAGTTTAATATGATTCATTCTGGATGTAAGTTTCCTAAGATTTATAATATGATTTATAATTCTGCTAGTATGATATGAATGGTGGCTTATTGTAGAAAGATCATTACTTTACAACCTTAATTAAAATTATAAAATGAGAGTGTATATATATATATATATA